TTTTCTTGCGATACTTGCCTGATAAAATAAATGTGCGAGCTTCTGGAGGTTTTCCGATATGGATGTGGGACTGGTTAACTCTATAGATTCCCAACATTGATTATTATGTGAGGTAAAGTCTTGTAATAAACCTTGTACGAATTCATTCATTAAAGTTAAATCTTCGGTAGAATTTGTAATACTTTTATGTTCCTGCGAGATATTATTAATGGTTTCTGTATCATGTGACAATTTTGAATCATCGTTAACATTGTTAACGGTTTTCGTATCATGCGATAAGTTTGAATCTATAGTGAAATCTGTAATACCTTTCTGGACTTGCTCATCTATAATATTCGCAATGGTTTTTTCCCCACGTGGTAATTTCAAGTCTTGATCGTTGACGGTTTCTGTATCATGTGATAATTTCGGATCTTGATCGTTAACAGTGTTAACGGTTTCTTTGTTATGTGATAAGTCAGAAGAGTCATCCTGGATAACTGATTCGCGTTTAAGCTTTCTTTCCCGATTTCTCTCTCTTATTTCACTGCTAACAGTTTCTTTATGTACTCGATCCAGAAATTTATCGATCACCTTATTTTCCAATGACTTGGTCTCTGTGCGAATAGGTTGACATTGTTCAGGAGCGTTTTCAGAATTCTCGATAGAACTGGTATTAGCTTTCGATTGTTTGATTTCCTTGATGTCATCATCTAGTTTAGCAATAAGGTTAGTCTTTTCTTTATCTCTCTGTTCCAGATTTATGAATCTCACTTCATACTTTTCTAAAGCTTGCTTCAACTTTACATTATCAGCTTTAACCTCGATATTCTCAGCCAAGAGTATAGCATTCTTCTCCCTAAGTTCAGAAATCTCAGCCAAAAGCCTTGAATTTAATTCTTTCAATGAATCGATTTTGGATTGGGTGTTTGACATTACTTTATATAAAAAGCGCATTCATTCAAATTGTGTAAGGTACAAAGTTAAATTCACGTGATTAAATTTTGCGGGACATAATGTCTCGGAAAAATGTCACTTGTGTATATATTTTTGATACGTGGAATCCATTTCGGGTGTGGGTCGACATTTGGGATAGATCTATTTCGGGTGTATTACAAGCATATGATTTAATTTTCCGGCGATAGAAATGATCGCCTGGTCCGAAATAAGCAAATCCGAGATATACGAATTCAGTTAATTATACTACTTTTGATATTGCTTCGCAGCCATAGGATATACTCCGTCGATGGCTATTCACAGTTAATTCGTAGTGTTATCATAGTGCTATCGTGGTTTTATCTCAATAGAAATTTTTCTATATAATCTATATCCATCGTGGTTGAATTGCAGTTTAGTCGTAGCAAAATTGTAGACCTGAAGGACGATCTAAGAATCATGTGGACCAATGATCATCTGCGTTCATTAATTGACGAGAGAAAAACTAGGAACGTTGAATAATACGACATCGTGGGTATTAGTAGAGAGGATTTTTGGAATAGCATCGCAGATAAGATCAATAGGCAATTTAATACCACTTATACCGGATATCAATGCAAGGGAAAATTTCAAAGTCTCGTAAAAGACTATAATGTAAGTATTTTGGGGGATGGGGTTATTACTAGTCGATGTGCCAGTATATGGCGGGTAGTAGTTCTGGTAAGAGAAGTAGAACGGGCGAACAATATTTTGAGGAATTTCGTACTCACTTTTGGGAGAGACCTGGTAGGGATATAAACCATTAATAATGATTGGCATTATTGCAAAGCAATGGGCTCTGCCCTATAAAATACAATGCTAACATAAACAATACTAGAAACGCATTTTGATCAAATACAAAACGTAAATACATCCTCGAGAAGAAGAGAAGAAAGATGGCGAAATCGCATCCCACCACCAACCTACGAAGAAGTTTCATCAATGCTAAATATGAGTCACCGTGAATCTCCGGCGGGTCAAAGAGATCGATCCGCATCTCCAACCCGAAGAACTCCCAGCAGAAGAGACGAAACTATCAATCGAGATAATGCAAGTAATTTGGGTAGAGATTTAGGTAATAACATAAATAATGTAAGTGGGAATTTAAGCAATAACACAAATGATGCGAGTGAAAATTCGAGCCATAATGCAAATAGCGCAAATGAAAATTCAAATAATAATGCGACCCATAATAATACGCACGGATTATTATCCAATATACCTGCATCACAAAATGGTAGTGATGTTAATATGGCCGAAGCAGGAAATAGTCAACCTATAAATGAGGAAAGTTAGACCTATTGTAAAACAATAACACGAAGTGAGCAGAGTTTAAGCTACTATTTTGGGATGCAGAAAAATGCTCCCCGTGCAGCATCCTTACCGCACTCGTGCAGTGACTGTGCAGCACCTGTGCAGGCGTGCTTTTGGTGAAATTTCCGAAATATGCCTATCGTATTATGTCACGTGATTAACCAGGTGATCGACACGTAACGAATTTTACGAAATCGTCGAGACAGTTTAAATAATCTTACGAAACCTTAATTGCTCTAATATAATTAAAATAAAAATCTTAGATTATAAAATTATAAATGATTTATTAATAATTTACACAATTTCTATAAAATTTTTATTTATAAATAAAGGAATTTTATTAACACGTATTTACTATATTTAAAAAATATATTGTTAAATACAAAAAAATAGATATTGGACCTATAGGTCTATATTGTAGTGATAATGCTCCATAGGTCACCAGGAGAAGATCTAGGGTTTAAACCCACCTGGTTACAAAAATTTATTACCTTCATGATTGATTGACTGGCTTTCAATACATGTTGTACCCAATCAGCTGAAAATCATTTACTAAATTAAGTTAGGCTGCATAAAGATGGAACCTCTGATCTTTCTGATGATCATGAGCTGAAAACAGGTCAAAGCAGAAAGATTGCATGAGACAAGGCTTCTGGTCTAACTCCAATATAAGCCCACTATCTATCTTTTCTATTCAGATTAGCTAATTTTCTAATTTAAGTTATACTTAATCAACTAATATTTCAAACTGGATCGGCAAATTCTGAAATTTGATTAGACCTCCACTTCTCTATTTGATGTTGGCACAATTTGGATTGTAATCCAATCATGAAAAAAAATCAAGTCATAAGCCAAAAAGAAAACTCTTAGAAAGGTTTTTTACTGTTGATACAGGATTTTCCTTATCTTATATTTACAAGTAAAAAGTTATAAACATAAATCAGGATATAGATTTACCTATTTGATATAAGTTGGTATTCTGATAAAATGGACAAGTAATGTGAATTAATATTAGCAATAGTTAATGGACTGTTCATGTGTAGATACTGTAATTATAATTTTAATTGATTCAACAATAAAATTTATGCATATATTGCAACTTAGCCTTTAAAAAAAAAAATAGATACTGAGAAGCTATCCAAATTCTTCTCTACTACTAAGGTTTTTAAGAATGAGATGCAATAATTTGATCTGAGTTTTTTCCTTAAATTTTACAAAACAAACTTACAATTTATCAATACATATTGTTATATATTATTTTTATCTCAGGAGAAAGATAAAAATAGAGAACTAATAGCAGGAAGATACTTTAAATAGATAGAGCCAATGTGGTGTACTAAAGTTTCTAAAGGCATACAAATTTGTACAATTCTGAAATGTATGAGGTCAAGTGAAAGAGGCAATGGTATAAAGGTCAAGATATTTATTCGATAAAATATAAGTTCAAGCCTACTAATTTCTAGGCAAAATTGAAGCCTTTATATATATATTTGAGTTAGATTATTTTTATATATAATAATTATGAGTTATAAGAAATAATAAAAATATAAAAAAAGTGTTATATTTGTTAAAACAGTTATCTGTATATGTTTGTATAAAAACAAATGCTCTGGTGAAAATACAATGATAAAGATAATTAAATAAAATAAAAAATATTCTAGAGTAACAATAGTATGAAAAGTACAGTACTAAACAATAATAAGGATAATAATATACAAGAATTATTCTAGAATGGGTAATATTTCAAGAGTGAATGCTAGTGAAAATTGAACAAGAAGTAGTGATAATCTTGAATGAAAATCAATTATAACAATTCTTCACTACTAAGTTATGAGTTTTACAAATTAATCTTGTATTCAGAGTATAACAGTTGATAGATTAGGTGTAGAGTGGTGAATCAGATCCTGTAGATCTGATTGATTTTTACTTTTTCAAAAATAGTATATGTGCAAATAGCCATCTTGGAATAATATTTTGTAAGATGTAATTTCAAGTATATACAGTATTTTGTCTTCTATAGGAGATATATTCTATCAATTCTTTTAAATAGTAAGCATATACAAGTGTATAAATTCTGTTTTTTCTTCTTGATGCTTTCTGTAGCTTCTGATAGGTATTTAAAAGTTATATTTTGGTAGTCTGCAAAAGATCGTAGGGGACTGGTGCAACATCTATATCTTCAGGAGTGTTTTATAGAAGATCTTCAATTAGGACTTCTAATGATACTACTTTGATACCAGTTCGATACTTAATTTTACTATAAATTCATATAAGTGAGTTACAACCCATATATTAAATTTACTATATATTAATATTATTTCAATATCAATTTGACAATTAGATATCAGTTTGGTACTTTTCAGAGCCTTATCTTTGATCAAAATAATATAAGCAGTTATTGAATTAATGTTTGTATATTAAAGATATTCAAATTTGAAAAATGAGCATGTTGTTTGGAGCAGCTGTCTTTTTTATAAATTTTTATGAGTATTTTGAGGTTTTACTATGTTGTGTATTTAAGGTTTTCTTGAAAAGTATTTGGCAGGTAATCTTCAATTAAAAAATTCTTTAAAATAAAATATCAAGAGAAAATTGCTTGTCAAAAAATACTTACCTAACATATTCTGGTCAAGGTTTAAGGCTTTGGAACCAAAGATAAAAAGATTAAGAAGAGAATTGAAAATACTTTAAGATGTATTTTTCCTTCACAATCTCAATAGGGAGTTGGAATTGAAGAACTTGAATTTGAGAAACAGAGTATCTTGTTTGGAAGATTTTTTTTGCCTGTTGGGAAATCCTGTATCTGCTTCTTTTGACAGGTCTTTTTTTTCTTTCTTATTTAACTAGAGATTTGCTTTTCATTTTGTTTTTTTTGCATCTTTTTCTTCAAAGTTCATACATTCATTGTGAAAGATGCATTAGTTGCTAAATATGCTTTGTAAATTAGCTGTAATGAACAGGAAACATTCTGTAGATCATTTCAATTACATTGTATCTTTCGTTTGTTTCTCTAGTTTCTTTAGGTCTTCTTTCATTCAAGGATTTGATGATACTTGTGCTGGGTTTGGTACAAGTGAAAGATTGGATTACTTAAGCATCTGCATCATCATTGCATAACCTAGATACTGAACTCTCCAGTAACTAAAGAATGCTTCTTATGCTAATCAATTAAAATATGGTTTCAAGAAAAAAAGGTTAATAGGGATAACAAGAACTTTTCCTTCTATTGTTCTAAGCTTGAAGATATTACTGGGCAAGACATTATTAATATAGAAAAGTTCTTTCCATTTAGGTTTCAGTTTTTCTATAAAGTGTTTGTTTCTGATAGCATTATATAATATATCAATATCTTATCTCTAATTTTAAATTTCTTGTACTTTGTTACTTTTTGATCAAATATTTATTTTTGTCTTTATTGTTCCTTGTAAATATTTCTTCTTGCTTGTTTCTATTGTTGTAGAAGTTTTTTTAATAAGATACAGTATATAATTGGTTAAAAATTGTTGGTTGCAATATTTCATCTATGTTTGTTGTAGACATTTGAGGTTTTCATCCATACAATAAATAAAATAATATCATTTTTGTAAAAGATTATTTTGATGTTTTAAAGCAAAAAGTATTGGCAAAATAGTTTGGGACCAATTTTCTTTGTCTTTAGTTAACTTTACAAGTAATTTATACAAAGTTCTATTAAATTATTCAACTAATTCATTAGTTTGAAAATAATATGGCATGGATAATAAATGTCTTATCTCAAATTGTTTAAATAATTTATCTACTATTTCATTTCGAAAATAAGTTCCTCTATTAGACAAGATTTGTTTTGGATATCCATGTCTACAGATAATAACTTGATAGATAAATTTTGCTACATATTTTTCAGTAGCTTCAGAGATTGCTTCTGCTTCAGGCCATTTGATAAAGTAATCTGTTGCAACGATAATGTACTTGTTTTTTTGTTTGATGATTAGTAAGAATCTTACAATATCTATATCAATTCTGGAAAATTATTTTTCAACAGGAATAGAATGCAAGAGTCTTGGTGTTCTGTATATTCCACATTTTTGATATTGGTCACATGATCAAATATAGTCTTTGATATTTTCAAACATCTGGGGCCAGTAGTACTAATTATACATATATTTGTATTTATATTATAGCTGATTTCATATTCTAAAAGTTTGACACTGGTGAGAAAAAAATGGCACTTTTCCATATTTAATTTCAAGTTTTCTTGGTGAAAAACATCTAAAATAATGTTTACATAGTTATAGTGATCTTGAAATGTTTTGAAGAAAATAGTAATGTCATCCAAATACACTTCAACAAAATTTCTTTTGTATTGTCCAAGAAGTTTATTCATGAAATGTTGAAAAGTAGCAAGAGCATTGCACAATCCAAAAGGCATAATATTGAACTTATAGAGTCCATATTTTATGATAAAGACAGTCTTCTTTTTATCTTCATCGCTTATGGTTATTTTCCAATATTCACTTGCTAAATCAAGACAAGTAAACCATTTAGCACCTTAGAAGAAATATAAAAGATCATCAATTATTGAAAAAGGATAGATATCCTTTTCTGTAACTTCATTTAATTTTCAGAAATCAATATAAAATCATTTTTTGCCATTCTTCTTTGATACAATTACAATTGACAATGCCCAAGGGCTGGAGGTAGAATTGATAATTCCTTTTTTTAGTATCTTATCAATTTCACTCTTGATAAATTCTTGTTGATCTAATAATGTTCTATTGATATGTTATTTGATGAGTTTTGCATTTCCTGTATCGAGAGAGTATGTAATTACAGTAGTTCTTCCTAGATCTTAAGTTTCTGCCATTTTTGGAAATATGTTCTACAAATATATCTTCATTTTCTTTTATAATTTGGTTAACTACTTCTTGTTGTTTATCAGTTATTAGATTAATTTTGGATGTTGTTTCTTGATTAATCATGTGATCAGAG